TCCTCTGTTTTACGGTAAAATTTGGTTTCTTAACTAAATCCATAGACCGAGTAATTTTTGTTCGCGCGAAAGGGTTTTTCGTAAACTTTTTTTTTTATTTCACGATAGTACAAGAAATATTTGTGTTAATCGGACACGGGATCATTTTAAAATTTATTTAAAAGTGAGTTTGAATATTTTCGAGTTGATACATTTTAAAAAATTTCATTAAAATCGATAAAATATTAAAATATTACATTTACATACGTTCGTAAAAATAAGTCGTGTAATAGTTTCGTAGGTATTTAAAAAAATGGACTCCATTTTCAGCCATGTCAAAATTGCTATTTATTTAAAATCAAGATGATGAATTCATAGGTACTTATTTTTGATACATTAAATAATGTTAACAAATGTAGGATCCTCACATAAAAAAAGAGCCGATACTGGCGATGGGAGTGGCCACTGTTATAGGCGAGAAGTTGGGAATATAGGATACATAAGGTTATTCATTTATAACCGAATAACAGCAAAAATTCCCAAAAATTAAAATTCCTTAAAAACTCAAAAGTTGATCATAAGTTTTAGCGATGATACCGCAAGAAAGTAAATCAAAAAGGCAACAAGAAAAGGAATATTTTAATTTTTCGATTATACCATTTTTTCTGATAGAAAACGTCGTCCGTGTTTTTATAAAATAATGAAATCGTGAAATAGTACATTTTCCTACGTTTTTTTCCCACTTTTATTTAAAAAATGTCGTCGTTAATCAAAAAATTACCTGTTTAAAGTACCATCTAAACAACTTGAGCATTGAGAAAAGATGCTACATGCACAAATTGGAGGAAGTTTACTAGAAAAAACTTATCCACAGAATAGAAGAAAGAAGAAAAAATAATTATCTTAGTATAACCAATAGCTCCCTCGTTACTCTCGGAATTTAAAAAATATAAATATTTATCGTTTGGTTGTTATAATAATTTACGTACGCAACGACTTGAAAAAAATCCCTGTACGAACAGATTTAAATAAATATATATAATATTATAGTTAGTGCTCGAATTGGGGAAAAACTGAGGATAGTTTTAGTTTAGCAATCATATTATTCTTTAGCAGAAAAGATATGTCACAAAGACTTTAGGAGTCAGGAGCTTTTGTTCCCCGGAATTAATGTACAAAGTATCTAAATTAAATAACCAATTTCAGAATAACAATAAAAAAAGACGGAGATACTTCGCTTGATAGGTGGGCCACTGTTGTAGGTGAGAATTTGCGAAAGTAGGTTAAAGAAGAAAATTTAATTTATATTTATACGGAACGATAAACCATTGCTAATGAAAAACGATTTGGAGCGAAGTTTCTTTTATACATTTTCCCATTTTTCCCAATTATTATGAAAATCGCTTGGAAAATAAAAAAAAATGATATGTTTAGAGAAACCCAGATAAATTCCTTTTAGGAAAAGTACTGCTTTTGAAAATCGGAGCAAGATTTCTGATAGGAAAATTGTTAACAGTTAAAAAACTAAGAAAATAAATAAATAAACATCATTGTAAAACCAATACATTCATCGCTACGCTTCGAATCTAAAATAAAACCAAACTAAAACAAAAAATGTATTTTATAATTAATGAGTACGGAAAGGATGATTTCTGTTGAAATAAATATTTGTACATAGTTATAATATTGAAAAGTTGGCCGCAGATGTGTACTTTTCATGAAATGTTGATTAAATTAACAACAATTTTAATTTTAAATATCCCAGGATAAACGTGAAAAAATAATATTTAGAATAGACCCAGATGCTAATTCCCAAGAAAGCGTTCTTAGAGTTCTCGAGTTTATTACAAATAATTAAAAGGTGTGCTTTAATTTTGTAATTATATAGTTTATTTATACATTGTAAAATCAATTGTAACACTTAAAAAGCCAAAGAAATTCATTTAATCATTTTATTCACGTCGTAAAGCTTGTAAATAGGTTTATTATATCTACCTAGTCTTCCTATTCATATTAGTGGTATGTGGTCAATGAACTACCCGAATTAGGGACTTAGAGGTTTTGTAGTATCTGCCGCGTCTACCTTTTCACTTATCAAGTTAATGTTAAAAAATATATATTATTTATAAACCACAATTATGGCCAATATATGAGGTATAAATAAAATAATATACCTATGTACCAGTTATCTAATAAATAATATATCGTATAATGTTTTATTCAAAACGGATAAAATTCAATTAAAGTCTGGCATATATTATCTTCTTGTTCTTCTTGTTCATCTTATTGGTCCGTTAAGGACCATTGCTATCATCACAAAGCCTCTCTATCTTATTTTGTTGTATTCATCAAGTCAAAAGTCGATTTCTTTTCTATTTCTTCTTTATCACGAGCAATAACATCCATCCAACGGGGTCCTGAGTTTTCCTAATCGTCGTTTTTGGTTTATTTTATTTATAAATATATTTTGTTAACTTAATCAACTTTTCGAACATATCCGAATCATTTTAGACGTTTTTTTATATGTTTTTTTTTTTTTTTTTTTTTTTTTTATAAAGGATAGCTGAATATTTGGACTATTATATTCGTATAGCTTCTGCTACTCTGTATTATAGGAAGTTACTGTGAATTCCTTTTAGCCCAATTTTTGCTCACGTACGCAAATATTGGTCGCAAGTACGGTAGGTCATGGATAGGTATTATAAAAACAGTAAATAGACTTTAGATTACATATTACAAATATCTGTGAAATACAATATTATCTTCATACGATAATAATATTAGTTTTTTTAATTAGTCGTATTAGGTATAGGTTTCTCCGTTTTTTTTTACGGAGAAACCGTATGTGTAAGCGAGCTTTTTATATCTGGCGTAATTATCTAATTTTCCTTTTTTCTTTTCAGTTAAGATATGTAAAAATATCTAGGTCTTACTGGTGGTTTTCTTTCTTCAATTGCATGTTATTTTATATAATATAGTGTGGATATTTCTTCATTGCGATGGCGTAGACTGTGCCATATATCCCATCGTCATTGCTATAAAACATTTATTATGGATCTAGTTTCGTTAAAATGATGGACCAAAATTATTTTTTTCTTGATGAAAGCTGTCTCGATGCTTTGGTTAATTCTCTGTTTAATTATTCGTAAGTATTATTATTTTATTATTTCAAGGTCAAACGTTTTCGACATAATTTATTAATTTCATTACTGAAAAAAAAAATGTATTTTTGAATAATACTTATCTGTGATACATATATATATATATATATATGCTGAGACAGTTTTAATTTTTTTTGCATACGGGGCACGGGCTCATAATTTTTATACTTTATAAAAAAGTCGGGTCCGGCAATTGAGTGGTAATATAATATATTATATCATTATAACATTGTTAGGTAGGTGTATATAATAATACATTTATTATAAAATCTTCCTCTTATTTTTATTTATTATAATTTAAAATGATGATAAAGCAATTTACGTGCAAAATGATTCAAGTCTTATGCGATATCAAATAAACCCATTTCTTTTAGCAACGTAAAAATCCCATTTAAGGTTTATAATTGTATGTATAAGTGTATATTTAATATGTTTAATATATAAAAGTTAATTTTCAAATTTTCAAAAATAATATTTAATAATACTTAATAAATAGTAATTATAACAATATTATGTATTTCATTATGTATACAGTTATAATTCGTTTAATATTCAAAATATATAATGTCTGTGATTCTATAAGGTTTACCTGGTTAAAAAAATTCGTACATTATTTAAATTTTTTTTTGATGTCAAAATGTTTTAATAAAATTAACGATTTTGAAATTGTTTTTATAAATGTTCCATTTTAAGTAATTTAAAAATGTTTTATCCGTTATGAAAATTAAAGACATCATTAATAAGGAATTGATTTATGGAGTTCGTCTCGAAATGACCCCTTTTCAATGTTACGAGTGCTTTTCTAAGAAAAAATATCATATTTTTAACATAGCCCGAATGGCCCCAGTTCATTAAAATTTACGGAGAGTGCATTACGAGGTGAATTGGCTTAAACCCCACAAATATTTGGTTATTTTACTGTCTACATTATTGGCTTACGCCTATTATGGTTGGTTGAGTGTTATAAAATGGTTTTTAAAATTTTTTAATGTATAAGATAAATGTTAATCATGTTGTCTATACTTACTACTGTTATGGGTGCCTTTGATAATATATAACATAATACAAAGTATAGGCGTGTTGTAAATAACGCGATATTAGGCGAGTTGTACCTTAGGTCAAGTCAGCCAAGTGATAGTTACTTTGCGTGCCAAATCTACATTCACCGGTCGGGAATCGGATTGTCAAATCCGCCCCAGCCGAGGCCGAATCTCGGGTATTACAAAGCTGCCCTCAAATAATTTACAAAGAAACTGCGTCGCAATGCGAACCGCTTTAAGTATGCATATATTAGAAAATTATTAAATATTGTGTTTATTTGTTTTATTTAATCTTATGTATATAATATTATGTTGCTGTACGAGGTTTGGCTATTAAATTACAAGACTGCGCGCGCAGAGAGCGTTCCAAAAAGGTTAGAGGAAAACCGAATACAGAGCTGGTTAGCTGGAAGTGTCTTTTATGCTAGTACAAAATTAGGTTTTTGTTGGTGCATTAGTATTTTTTCTGTAGCGTTTAGAAACGAACATGTTTTTTTCTCTTGCCGAAAATGATGTGTGACGAAAAACATGAGCAACGGATAAACGTAAAATTTTCTCGTTAAACTAAAAAAAACTCCAACTGTGTGCTATAAGTTATTAAAAGAGGCTTATAGTGAGGATTTCCTATCTCGGGCGCGTGTTTTTGAGTGGCATAAATTATTTTCTGAAGGTTGAGAGTGCACCGGAATCCAATTCAGTCGTAATCCAAATTCAAAACCGTTTTCTTCGATATCAACGGCATCGTGATGACTGAATNCATTGCGCGAATGAGTTCGTAAGAAACGGTCGATATTGTGGAAAAACAAGTCGTGGATCTTGCACCAGGATAAAGCGTGAAGCGTTATTTGACCGCTTAAGGCACTCCAGTACTCGAACACGCGTCTTACTCAGCCGACTTGGCACCCTGCAACTTTTACTTGTTTCCGAAGTTAAAGTCTGCCTTAAAAGGAATCCGGTTTGAGTCGATGGAAGAGGTGAAACAAAAATCGGCGGAACTCCAGAATGGTCTTACGAAAACAGACTTCCAGCACTGCCTCGAGCAATGGAAGAAACGAATGAAACGGTGTGTGGTGAGGGGAAGGGAGTATATTGAAGGGGAGCATTTGGTTGTGGAATAACTTATATAATAAAACACTTTTTCGTAACCAGTTTCGTTATTTGATAGCCAGACCTCGTATATTAGTCGTAGTGTAATTTTAACCACTATGTACCACGGGTCCGTTTTGTTCATTTATTTACTTATTTGAATATACATTATTATTATTATATTAATATTATGTTTAAATCAATATAATTGACGGTAATTAAAAACATTTATGCCCTCAACTTCTAAAGAGCCGGATATCAAAGGCCGAATGCATGAGGTTATCGTCAGCTACGCGGCAACATGTTATTGCCAAAAAGCGCATAATAAGCAGATTTGGTCGTGGGGAGAGGGTCCCGGGTATAAATATTGGCCGCTGATCATGGCAACGCTTTCAACGTGCACGGTAGATTGCTGTATACAAATTTAATAAAAAGTGGTTGATTAATTTCGATTAAAATAAATATACTTACACAAATTGTGTCTAATATTTCTGACTTCGGTACTACACAACCCGAACTTCAGTTCGAAACGGTCGCCCGCAACACTAAATAAAAGGTTGTAGTGTTCAAATATAAATATTTTCACAAAATACATACATGGTCTTTAGAGTACTTATATTATTTACATTTTGTTCACATGAAAGCGATACAATTTTTAATTTTTTGAACATTTTTAAAATCACTTCCACACTAGGATACTGAATTAATTATGGCACTACACTCGTTCACTAGCTTAATTAGTAAATAAATACTAGCCGTGGTATTGTTTAGTTTTAGTATCGAAATTGAAATAATATGCTATTTTTACCCGATTAGTTTATCAATTATTTTTAAGTAGGTGTAAATAGGCTGCATTGATACGACTACGGACGCACTCGGGCTATGAAAAAGGTATACATTAATAACGGGACGCATTCGGGATATACTTTGATTTTAAATATGCTTGAACGAGACGATAGATATTCAAGATTATAAAAATTCGCAATTTATAAAATTCAAAAAATTAAGTAATTTTATTAGAAATTAGTAATATTTTTTTTTTCATTACTTATAATGAATTATTGAACATGTCAATGTTTTATTATGTTATTGGATTTTTATCACATCAGGTGATTTCACGTTAAATGATAGGTACTCATTATAAGATAAAATTAATTTTCGACACAATATTATTATACGTTCAAAAACTCTAATGCTGGCATCTGTAAAATAATATAACGCTCAATAATAATATTTATACAAATTATTATTTTTTTTTTTTTAGTAGGTATTAGTTAATTTTGTTTATCACGTTCACATGCTTGTATAATCAATTCAATAATTAAACGAATAATTAATATTTAAATCTCTGATAGATTTAAAATAGAGGCCAAATTCAACAGACTTGAAGTTAAATATTATTGAAAAGCATTAATGGCACCTGATAAAATAAACAGTGATAGATACCGGATATAAAATAATTATGAGTCTAAGGTCTTAGTATTTTATAGTTAGGTTACTAAAAAAAAAAATAATATTAGTAGTAACTAATATTATTTTTTTAAATGAAACAACAATGTTAACATTTAATAATTACGACTACTGGATTGTATATGTCGAACGATTTTTGGAATAACTTTTTTATTCTAAAGTAACGTAGGTGGCTACAAGTATCTAACTATTGTATAAGTAGTTGATCAGTTATTTTAAGTTTATTATAAATACAAAATGTAAAAAATAAAATTAAAATATTTTGAGTTATATTAAGGAAAAGAAAAGCAAACAGTTATTTGAAAAAAGTTTCATATTTAAGTAATAAATTAGCTCAACATCAAACAGATTCCCTTTACACTATATGCAAACGTCACCCATTTTAATGACTACCTTCAATTTGTTTTTTAAACTAATCATGTTTTCGAATTTTTCGGTATGCAGATCAATAAATATTGTCCACGTAACAAAATTATTAGCATTATATCTTTTTTTTTTTTTTAACAATAATAATTTCAGTAACACTTGATCCAATTTAATTAACTATTGATACGAAAACGTCAATGTTGTTTTATAATTATTGAAAATAAATAATTTTTACATAGTATGATATTTTATAAAATATATTTATAAATGTTTACCTACTTTTATGTAAAAAAAAAAAAAAAAAAAAAAAAAAAAACGAGTTATTGATAATCTCACATAATATATGCTATGCTATACGCTGTTTAGATTGCATAGTATATACATTTTTTAAGAAGAAGTATGACTAAGTGTAAGAAAATTAATTTAAAAAAAAAATCGTTGTTTGGTACAACATTATTTTTCACTTATTACTTAGTAATAATAATTTATGATAAGTATAAAATATAAATTGAATTGGTTACATCATAATTTAATTGAAAATAATATGTTATATAACGCGTTATAAACAATTCATGATTATTACCGACTAAGAATTGTTCGCAACAATAACGTGTTGTTCAATCGTAAGGGTTCCTATACAGTTTATTGGAACGTTTCACGTTAACTTTTGAGAAAATAAGACAATGACGTACGGTGCGTAACTATTCATTTTCGACCAGATATATTTTACACAACTAACATCTCGATTTTTATAATCACATATTTCGGTTTATTTACCCATATAAGTTTTCTGTCAAAATTTGAAGGCTTTATATAATATATAAAATGTATAAAACTAAATTACATTAAAAAGATAAAATTTAAAATAATAAAAGAATTATTTTCGTGCATTTTTCCGTACTTGCTGCAATTTTTTCAGTTTTACTCAATTATTAATAAAAACTACAAAGAAAATCAAAACCCGACTTTCTTGGTCAACAACTATAGATTAAAAATTCAACAAAAAAGATCATCTGATGTTTTTCTATTTGAGTAATATTTACGGTAAGCCGTAAAAGTTTAAAATAATGAAATTGTTGTGCCATAATTTGGAAAAAGTTATATTTCGTCCTTTTTGGTTTTTCCCAATTATTATGAAAAATACTTTAAATATAAAAAAACGACTGTGTCAATGGCAAAATATTACAAGGAATAAAATCGATCTTTATTAGTTTTGGATTGGAGCAACGTTTCTGATAGAAAACATCATGTTAACATAATAAAAACATTGAAAACGATAAGTTGTAAAGGTATGTAGGATACATACATTTGTTTAATTTATATCTGTAAGCAACTATTGTTATTGACCATTAATTTTGAGCTAAGTTCAGTTAAACATGTATTAAACTGCTATACATTTTACGACTATCCCTGAAATTTGAACATGAGCGCGTATAAAAAAATAAAATACTTTGAATTAAGCTCAAATTTTTTATTTTTTTATCATTGGGTACAACGTATAATTAGGATTACATTTTGTACATAATGAAGGACTTAAAATGTATTAATTTATTTTTGTAATTTGTTCAATTCTGAATACTCTACAGCTAAATTTTGTCTAAGAATATTAATATTATAATAAATAATACAATTCTCGGAAAATAAATTATTCTTACTATGCATTTGTTTGCTGTTTCAATAAAACAAGTATATTCATGTATATTATAATTAATGTTTAATAACGCATTCAACATTCAACTACGTAAATAAAATAGGTAGGTAAATATTTTTTTAATTATGTCCGGACTTAAAATAAATGAAAAATATCAAATTGTTTAATATAAGAAGTCGGCGAATGGGAAATTATTGAATAATAAATTAAAAACCGGAAGGAAGAGAGTATTGAATAAATATTTTATTTGTATATATTTATGTGTGTAGTGTTTCTTGTGGAAGAGGGGTTCAGAATACCCCCCACAGTACCTGAATCTGTTGTAAAAGGCGACAAATTGAGTTGCGTCAGGTCGATATCTGGTGTAAAATTCTGTCAAACAGTATGGGGGGTTCTAAACAAGTCTTTGCAGACTATCCCATCTCGTTAACTCGCTTCTAGATAGTAGTTGAGAGAAGATATTATGGTGCATAATGTTTTGCAGAGAATAGCTTTGATAGGAGAACATTTGGAATATGTTAATAATAGGCTTGACGAATGGATAATAACACTTGAAGGAAAGGGTCTAAGGATATGTAGATGTAAAACAGAGTATGAAATGGAGGAATAGGGCAAAACAGCTTGAGTCAATTAGTTATAGGCCAGGTTGAGAGTTTTAAATAACTGGGAATTTTTGTACAAAATGACGGTGGTTTTCATGGCCATTTGAAACATAGGATTGCATGTGGTTTGATAAAATGGAAAGAAGAATAGGGTGTTTTGTGTTTTATGTGACAAGAGAATTCCTATGCAGTTTAAAGTTAAGTTCTATAGAAGTGTGGTTAGACTGATTATGTTTTATGGTCCGGAGTGTTGGGCGGTAGACAGAAAAATAGAACAGAGAATGAATGTAGCAATGATAATACTTAGTTGGATAAGTGGAATGACAAGTAAAGATAGAATAACAATAAGGGATGAGTACATAAAATTTTTAGGTGTGTCTTCGATATGAACATGTTAACACAATGAGAGAAAATACGCAGGAGGAAAGAAGCGGAGAATAAGACAGAAAAAAAGATTTCATTGAGAATGATACGAGGGCAGCTGGTGTATGCAAGGTGGGAGATCTGGTCAAGTGAAAGTTTATAACGAGGGTGGTCGACCCAAAATAGTTGGGATGAAGGCGAAGGAGATGTATATTTATATATTTTATATAAAAGTAAAAATAATACTGTATAGTAGCTTTTATAATAGCTTTTATAGTCGTACCGTGTATGTTAATTTTGTTTTTGTCAAAATTTGAAAAAATAATAAAAATGTAAATATTTGTTTAGGGTCGATAGTGCAAAAAATATAAATCAAAATATTTGTCAGATTCTGACTCTGTGAAAAAACTGTTTTTAGGTGTTAGAAATAGATAACAAAAATATTTTAATTCCGTAAAAAGTATAATCAATTTTCATTCGGATCAGCTAGCGTGGGTCGAACATTGAAAGTCTACGTTAGACCCAGTGTTAGGCGATTCAAATTATTATACATTTTATAACATTGATCAATACCATATCATATCATTATCATACATTAGATTAGTGAAGATTCACTCTTATTTTACATTCTTTTATTTCTTATTCCATTCTTATTGTTTTATGAAAAAAACATCTATTATCTGTATAATACAAAAAATATCTCATGGAAAATTTGATTCTATATATTGTGACGGAGCTCTGTTGCTCTATTTTTTTTAAATATATCCAGTGGTGGATCACTGGCATACGAACAGGGTAGATAGCGGCTTGTATTAAAATTATTGGTGTTTATAGTGCGAAAAAACTTCGATTATTTACTGAAAATTTAGGGGCGTTCTCTAAAATTAACTGAACATAACCATACCTTTAGAAAACATATCACGGAGACAAGACTTCTAAAATAGTTTTTTCCACACACATTTGTTTATAAAAAGGACATACTTCGCATGATGGGCGGGCCACTGTTGTAGGTGAGAAGTTAGGAAGGTAGGATATAGAGTACCACCATACCTTATTTACATTTGTATGCAGCATAAAGAAGGACCGGCCAGTTTAAACACGTACGGGTATACTATATAGGAGTCGTTTGAAAATATGTAGTATTACAGCTAGTAGGCAAGTGCGCGGTTACTTTTCGACCGGTCGTCGCCGAAAAAAAAAAAAAGGCAAAAAGTGTGCGTGGCGACAATGGTAAAAAAAAAAATGACTGTATCGTGCGATGGCAATAAAATGCCGTCGGCGACAGCTAACCGTAGCCTTTCTACGGTACCTATAGTTGGGTATACAGGTACAACTAGACGGTATAATAGGTACTACCGTCACGGCGGCGCGGCGGCCGCTGCGATTGTATTTTACGCGCCGTCGAACAGCCGCCGCCGCGCGCATAAACGACGTATTTATTATTGTTATTATAACGCTGCTAATACAATAATGTATCGGCTTGTAAAATCTCGTCCGTCACGCCATCACACGCGCACGTACACACACACACACACACACACCTCTGACGTGTCTTGTTAACGCTCCGATCACGCTATATATTAATATCCCGTAGAATATACAGGGTGATTATTTTATCGCGAACCGCGGCGGCGGACGTATTTATTGTTGTACAGCGGTCGGTGTACTACGACAACAGGCGTATATTGTATCGTGAGCGGTGGCGAATATCTGGATTTGCTGAGCTCGTCTTATCGTACCCGAAATAAAAAAAAAAAAATGTATTTAAATTCCGGATTTCGCGCGTTGAAACTTTGCTTTTGGATTCGTTTGGGCACTTTTTATACAATAGCTCGACGGTGGCACGGCAAGAGGGTCTAAGCGACACAGTTCATAGTTTTCAGGAAAGTCAAAAAATGTTTATTTGTGATCTTTTTTAAGTTGGAATAGGGCATTTTGTTCATTGTATACTTTCTTTTTTTTATTGCAAGTCCTTAATATAAATACGCATTATTAATTCGCTTTTGATAATTATTTACGTGCACACAGCAATTTGAATAAATTTGTTTAATTATTTTGGTGCTTATGCCCTATTTGTTTACATAGTTGATTTTATACAAATATCTTTTTTTTATAATTTTTAATAATAATTACTTTAATTTAAGACCAATAAAATATTAGTAAATCATATTTTTTTGAAAATAAGGTGTAAATAAATATTTGTTGCAAAATAAAATTGTTATACTTTATTAAAATATGGTAAAAATAACATAAAAACTTAAATTTTTTATTAGATAATACTTAATGAATAACATAAAATGTACTTTGGATGAAATTTGATAAACAACGATAAATTCTATTATGACAATAATATTATTTTAATTCGACTTTGGTTCATCTGTTGTACCACAATCTTATCATGTATCTAGAAAAATAAATATTAGTCGTTCGAAAAATGATAGTACATTGTAATAGTACCACACAATCTCAATAAACGTTGCTTGTCCCTTAATTAATTTTACTAATGTCATTTATTCCTTATTATTGTTGTTTAGACCCTCTAATTGAGAATACAAAATGTAATGTGTTGTTCATACACCAAACTTTTCTATCCAATAATAAAGCCGTGTCGCTTAGACCCTTTTGCTGTGTCACTATGGATATATTTTATGCATATATGTTATAACTTTTTTTTTGCTTGTAAAAACATTCGATAAACGGTTTTTGAGTATAAAAAATACAAAAATATATTTAAAAAAAGAAAATCAAAAACCTGAATTTCGAAAACCAAAATGTCACTGTTCAAAATTAATAATATAATATTATATTATGGCGTTTTTCATTCAACTTCTACAGTGTGTAATCTACAAAAACTAATTACACTGATTTACACTATTGTTATGTTTAGTATTAGTACTGTCGTGCCACAAAGAATCGGAAGTTATATATATTTTAAAAATGAGTTAACAAATTTTAGCAAATTAACTGTTAAATTTTAGTTTGGGTTTGAAGTCTGTGGTATTACAGAGTGGTGGTGCCGACTTCACGGGCATTTGTTCTACCAGGTGGTCTATTTAAGTGGGTACACTCATTATCTCGGAAAGTATTAGCTTTTTACGGAATTTGTTTTCTAGAATATTTAGAAAAAAAGACGTTTTATAATTTTGTAATTATGTTGTTTTTTGTTACCCTTATTTTCGGGGGTAAAATCACTACTTACTTTTGAATTTAAAATGGCAACCTGTAGTAAAACATCTATAAATAGATGGAGTATTAGTTAAAATAAATTTTAATGTTGACATTTTTGATTTTTGTCGATCCGCCGACGAGATATTCTACTTTTAAGTTTGGGTCGGAGGAGAGTAGTGAATTATCATTTGTGTGGCGGTACGATGTGCGGCGTGTTGATAATGCACCACAACTGTTGTAGGGGTGAAGTTGTGAAGGTAGGATATATATTTATAATTTAATTTATATACCGTATACAACGTTAAATATTAGATTGTCGTCAGAATTTGACCTTAAACGCAGAAAAAATATTCTATCCATAACCTAATATTATGATGAAATTCGTGTTAAATTTTCGAGTATCTATACAAAGCTAAAACATGTATAAAACAAAATAAAAATCACGAAACTTTCAAATATAGCGATAATAATAACTAAAAGTGCTAAAGTGATTTGAAAATTTTACCACATCTAGAAAAGACTAATATAAGTACTCGGTGATAATTGCAGGTCTCTATGGTTGTTTTAAACGGAATTACAAAAAAAAAAAAAAAAACCCAATATCTTAATCAAAATCGTTATTGCGTACATTTACCCATTTTTCAACGTTTTATCTTACTCTTAATAAAACTATACAAGGGAAATCAAAAATAACCTTCTAATGTACTAACTAGACAAAATTTGCTACCATATATTTCATATTTTTTTTTTAATAAGTTAATATATAGACCAAATGATATTGTTTTTTATACTATTACGAAAACAATTTTAATTGCTATGCATAAACGTATAAAACCTAAACAGGGAGCATACTGACAGAACATTAATTTATTTCTTTTTACATCTCTATTACATGATCATTTGTTTCTTTTATTTATGACGTACATGCATCAAAGGAAATTTTCTTTTAGCAGAATCATTATTGAGCTTTTTTAATTTGAATACTTTTATAAGTACAGCACATTGATCTATTATCAAATTTAAATATCGGATCATTAATCATGGTCTTTGAACTAGTTTTTTTTTTGTAATTATTTATTTAGAAGTAGATAATATAGGAATATTTTAAAATGGTAAATTTTTTTTAGTGGAAAAAAAATTTAAAAAAAAGTTTACGAGAGAACACAGATAATGCACCAGTTTTTAAATAGTGAATTGGTAAATTTATATTGTAGCATTGAAGGTGAAAAAATTTACTGGTTCTGCATTCTGCCGAAAGTAAATTAACTATGGTATGACACTTGCGCGTGTGTTAGTCCGGGAAAATATATCTGTGTGGCATCCTCTTAATGGGGCATGCTACCGCCCATAATTCGACTATAAAAACTGTTTGGAGAAAAAAAAAGAAGACTCGTGCTGTAAACTTATTTAAGATAATGTTCTTCATAGTAAAAGAAGAACTATTTTGTTGATATTTCAAAGAGCTGATATTGCTGATATTGGCAAGTTATTGTTGTAGGTGGAAAGTTGGGAAGTCAGGAATGGTAGGATACATTAAGCTCACATTTTGTGGATACTGAAATTTTATAATATTCATAGGCTTGTGGGCCTACGACCTCACAATCTCAGATACCCAGATCCTTGATTTAATAATAATATTTCGCATAAGAAAAGTAACATAATATTTATTATATCATTAATATCTTAAGTGCATTTATTTGAATTTACATATTTGTATATAATTGTGATATAATACTTATTCAGTATTTTTGAGAAAGTAATGTTGTTAACTACACTTCTTTCAATGTTCAATATTGATAAATGTATAAATTATTATTGCGCCATATTAGGGCTTTTTGTCAATTTTTTAAACGGCACATTGACGGTAAATAAGTTAAAAACATTCAGAAATGTGTTCTCCTTATAAATGTAATGTGTGTAACTACAATTAAATTAGTTTTTAGATAGACATCAGATAGATAATATCTTGAACCTTATTTAAAAACCACGCACTTAGAATCGAAAGACAATGTATGTGGAATCGTAATGAAAATCTCGTATAATAACCATGAACTATTGATATATTTATTAAAAAAAATCGACAGAAAAAATAAAGAAACGACTATATTTTAAAATTGGTTTTGATTTTTAGGACGTGTAATTAAAACTGGATGCGACGAATCAGATGGATTAGAGCTAGAGGAGCTTCAGTACCCTTAAATATAATTCTAGTTAAGTCTATAGACAAATCATTGATAAAAAAGTAAAATTCTGAGAAAAGTTCAATTAAACAGTGATAATATTACGGCATTTCAAAAAATGCCGTGGTATTTACGATTTTCGTTGAATTTTAAAATTTACACGCATATAAAACAACCTACGACACTATGCTCAATTATTTTTCTTTACCTCGAAGTACAACTTATAATGAACTTTGAGTCAAATTATCAAACATTTCTGTTCGGCAAAAACAATTTTATCTACATAAAACCAAATAAGAAATTGTTTTATTTTTTAAATTGAAAATTTAATATATCTATAAATATTTAAAAATTCGCCAGAATGTTTTGAAAGTTTTATGTTATCTAGAAAGTGCTAATATAAGTATCATGTGAAAACTTTAAGTCTCTATGATTTTTTTAACGGAATTACAACCAAAAATATAAAATTGAAAACAATGAAACCGTTATTTTCGCAAACTTTCTTCATTTTGTCAGTTTTCTCACTTATTAGGAAAACTGTTAGAAAATAAATTACCTTCAAATGCACTAACTCGGTACAATTTTTTTTTTACAATTTCAGGTATAAAAACTTAATCGAATATTTGGCTGTTTTACTTTTAATTTTTTTCACAATTATTTTGAAGATTGATTGGAAAATCAAAAAGTCCTTCCTCCCCCTACATTAATCAACAAGATCCAGAATGCTTCAAAAAAGCTTTCTTTTTATTTATTGTTTGAAGCAAGATTTTAGGTAGAGAAACTGTCAGAAATATACAGAAAAATAGTTAGGTGTATAAATAGTAAAACCAAAACATTTCTTACTGCAAAAAGAATCTTAATTAACTAGGTATTGGATTATTTGAAAATTGAATGGTTTTAGGGTTTTCGAACTTTAATAAATTTTTCGTAATAGTGATATGAAAAAACTCAAACCAAAGTTGCCCAGTGAAAATTCTCATGTTTTATAGTAGAAATTTGGTTTATATGGACGTAAGTCCATAACCCGAGTAGTTATTTCCCGCGCGAAACAGGTTTTTGTAAACATGTTTGTTAATTGCATGACTCCAGAAAAAATACTTTTGATAATATATTTTATAAATGTATTTGTATCTGAATTTGAGTATGTTTTAGTTGATTAAATTTCAAATACAAAATTAACGAGAAAATTTCTTTTCATATGCAGCCCCTTAAATACAGGAAGTAGCACGTTCTCGTAACGGTCTTATTTATAATATTTTTCGAAAAGTGTTGATATTATTTAGTTTGAATGCACTAAATATATTGCGAAGATACCGTTTTTGATGAGTTATAATAGTTTAAAATTAAGACAAGAGAGCGAGGAAGAGTTACATATCCAAACATCTTCATCTAAACATTAATCTATCTTCCCTGCGCCTCTGTGGTTTATGTTCTAAACCGTTTACTTACACTTAAATTATAACTCCTAAACGATAAAGTATATTATTTTTTCAAATTGCTGCTTACAAATATATTATGAGTCGTTATTTTAAAATCTAAAAGTCTACGGGGAAATCTTTTTTGACGAGTATTTTATGAGAGCTTATTTGGACTGGAATGAGTTAGCTACAGTGTATAGAGAATACTGGAGGAGATTTTGTTCAGTAGGATGGTCTCGAGTTCTTGACGGCCGTGAAAAGTTTGGAAAAATAGATTTAATCGCTACAGTACGCGATAAAAGAATCACCCTGTATATATATATATATACACGTAAAACTAGTATCTATAAGGGGAGTGAAGGGAAACCGCCGCCGGTACACTGTCGTACCAGGGCCAAAAAAACTTCTACTAGGTAGGTACTACAAGTCTACTACCTACTACATGATAATATATCGCCACGCCGTCGTTTCCCGGTGTTTATTTAGTTTTACGTTATTATGTATATACACACATTTTTTAACGAGGCGCCGTTAGAGCTGTTATCGCAACGATAATAATATAATATCAAAACCGAGTAGGACTATTATAATAATATGATAATACGCGTATATTAGAAACTTTTATTATTATTGCGATCCTCTGATCGTCGTCGGTCAAAACGATATATTATTACATTATATACATATTTTTTTCCCTTCGAAACGTATACCATATCGTTAATACTGACCCCGACTTGTATACATTCTCGAGTCTCGGGGGATACCCGGTCCGAGACCCGCGGTCTCTCCTATATTTGTATAAGTATACACACCCCAACCACTGCTGGGCTATATTAGGACAAGAGCACTTTGCACATTTGACCGACCCTGAATTATTTGGGTTTTCTACATCATTTACCCCCTCCTCTCCTCATTCAACGCATTCTCGCACATAATAATAGGTTACGTAAATCATGCGATTTCAGTAACAATAAAAATAAAAATGTAGCTAGCCAAAATTGTTCAAAGTCACTTACCCATATGCAGGTATGAACCACCTGCATATGAATTGAAAAACGGTACTATGGTATGCCATGTGATTATTGACCTCCATGATATTTGATTAGGGAAAAGGAGAGTAAAATTGCACTGTACACATTTTACTAGTGGTGGGAAAGATTTGATATCATGAGGACAAATGTTTTGCGGTTACGCCGAATTCAAGGATTTTGTAAGCAATTATTAAAGAGTCCGAAACATATTCACGTAAGGTTCTATGTGAAAACCTTAAAACCCTAAATTGTACACTTTAAGGTGTTTTTAAGAATATTTATTCGTTTTTCTGAAAATTAAAGACTACATTACACATACCTACAGGGTATGACATCATATTGATTTTTAATTTTCTTGAATGCGACTGCAAAAACTGGCTTTTTTCTTTATTTTCAACGGTTCTTGCAAGAAATGATTTTTACACGTGATCCTATTCATTTTTTAAATTTTATAATAGGCTGATTGAATAATGCCATTATAGATGAAGTTAGGCTTTTCAATTTCCACCTTGGACATATTCACATTTCAAGATAAAAAGATTTTTCAACTCGTGGTTTTTATATTAAAAAACGCTTATGCTGACATCTAGTATACCTAATCACGTCGTCATCAAACGATAATATTCTTATATTAACTGTCGAATGAATAGCAATTTATATAATTTATTATAAAACGTAGGCACAAGTTATTATTGAATTTTGGACTTTATTTCAACTACTTAAATTTATAATTAATGTTAATTTTTTTGATTCTTTTAATTATTTAGTTGAAAATTCGTGATAAAAGAATAATTAAATGAATATTTAAAACTGATCTAGAGAATAACATTTCTGCAGAATTAAAATGTATTACGCGATATTAAATGATTTAATATTTTATATAATAAAATAATAAAGCAAAAACAATATTATTTAAATGATTAATACTCGAAAATAAGTAAAGTAAATAAATGTATAAATAAAAAATGTATTTATAAAAATAAAATAAATAAATGAATCAATGCATCGCTTGGAGTATTATAAGTGTATTAAACGACCGGTT